GAGAGAGAGAGAGAGAGAGAGAGAGAGAGAGAGAGAGAGAGAGAGAGGTGTGCGAGAGGGGCGGGGCTAATACTGCTGAAGATCTGCTGGAAAGTGCTGCAGAGTAAAGCTGAGGGATCACAGGACTGAGCCAAGCCTCAGGGTCAAGCAAGGCTGTAGAAATGAGGTGTGGGACAGTGGAGGCAACCGGGTGAGAAGCAGGACGGGTCCAGACTGACAGCGATTTAAGTAGACCATATTGGCGGTAGGAGCAGAGCTGAGCAGGGATTCCCGGGGCAGGCAGCTCCCTTGTCCGTACCAGACGTTCAGGTGACAGATCACCAGTACAGAGTTGTCCGTCCTTCACCTCAGGGTCCAGATGAAGGTGTGTGGTAAGGTGCTGGGCCTGATTGTCACCTAGGATTTAAGATGCCTGTGTGCCCTCATGGTTCTAATTACCTTGATACATTTATAACCCGATTTCCTTTTACCGTTAGGTATGTCATGTGTCAGTCTACACTCACAGGTGTCCTGACAGGCAGTATCTATGTGCCGAAAAGTCACCCCGCCTCTACATTTGTACCCTGAAGTCTCACATGGGCATCACGGCATGGCCTTCCCATGCTATGAGAGATGCTCTTCTCTGGCTTTTTACCCTTGCTCAGTGAGGGATGGTTTCTCTGGGGGAGTACAGAAGGAGAGACCAAGTCTCCCTATGTAGTCAAGGCTAGTCTTAAACGTGTCCCTTGTTCCTCCTGGGTGCTCTGCTTGTCCTGAGAGACTCTGGGGTGTGGGGAGGGCACACACGCTAACACCGCTCTGTCCCGTGTCAGATGTGTGCCGTGAATGGCGGCGTGCTGGTGGGGAACTGGTCGGGAGACTACAGCAATGGCACCGCGCCGTACGTGTGGACCAGCAGCGTGCCCATCCTGCAGCAGCACTACCTCACCAAGATGCCCGTGTGCTTTGGCCAGTGCTGGGTTTTCTCTGGGATCCTGACCACAGGTAGGCGGCAGCCGGGGCAGGGGCCGCTCAGCCCCCACAGAGGCTGACCATCCTGTCTGGGCTCTTTCAGCACTGAGAGCAGTGGGCATCCCGGCTCGCAGCGTGACCAACTTTGAGTCAGCCCACGATACAGGGAAGAACCTCATAGTAGACATCTACCTGGATGAATCCGGCAAGACAATGACACATCTAACCAAGGACTCTGTCTGGTAGGCTCCTGGCTGGCTAGGGTTCCTCTTCTGTTCTCCTGTGGGCTTTCAGCCTCGCCTCCTCTGTCAACTGGTTCAGGTTGGGAGCAGTGTCAACTCCAGAAACCCACTTTGCAGAGTCAACCTCATTGTGTGACCCAGGACTCCTGGGAAGGCTTGTTAAACATGAAGATCCCTGGGCTGCAACTTCTGCCCCCATGGAGGCAAAGACTGAGAACTGGCCTTTACTTCTAGCCCCCAGCCCTGGAGACTGAGACAGGCTGCTGTGTGCTACGCTGATATAACTGGCACCTCTAGTCGACAAGGGCAATGTGTCCTCTGCTCTCTGACCCAATGCGCAGCAGCTTGCAGGCTAAAAGCGCAGGGATTTTAAGGGAGGCAGGATGTCTGGAGGTTTGGGTGGGGTCATGTCTCCTGCAGCTGGATGTGCCAAGTCTTTCTTTCTGGCACTATATGTTGGAGACACCAAGCTCTGTTAATTCATATGATGCAACTGTCTTAAAAATAGCAAGAATAGCTGGACAGTGGTGGCGCACGCCTTTAATCCCAGCACTGGGGAGTCAGAGGCAAGTGGATCTCTCTGAGTTCAAGACCAGCCTGGTCTACAGAGTGTGAGTTCCAGAACAGCAAGGGCTATACAGAGAAACCATGTCTCAAAAACAAACAAACAAAAAAATCAAGAATATGGAATACTGTCCAGCTATAAAGCTATAAAATTATTCATCAATAAAATCAGAATCCCTTTGAGTGGAGAAAAGGTTTACAGTTTTCTGCCCATTCATTCATTCATTCATTCAGCAGAGGCTAGCGATCAGGGGTCTTTGGGTCTCAAAGGCTTCTCCCCTACTGCCCGTCTGCTCTAAGCTCCGCTCTCCACATGGCTCTCCCCACTGACCTTGACTTTGTTGACAAAGGTCCCCACTTCAGAACCTTAAAGGGCTATGGTGACGGTTTCTCCGGTGGGGCTGTTTCCACTGCCACAGGAATTTCCATGTGTGGACAGATGCTTGGATGAAAAGACACGATCTACCCCAGGGCCACGATGGCTGGCAGGTCCTGGATGCTACACCACAGGAAATCAGCGAGGGTGAGTTTGTATGGGGCTCAGGAGGGGCTGGGGATGGAGGCCTTGTCTGGGGTCTTGGGTGGCGACACTCACACTGAGCAAGGCCTTATAAAGAGGACACAAGTGACAGTCACGTGATATAACAGTAAGTGCAGGCGCTTACTGGATGTACAGCTCATAACTCACCTTTTCACGTGTTTGTGTGTGCACACACATGCATCATGGTATACACGTGAAGGCCAGAGGACAGGTTGTGAGTCAGTTCTCTCCTTCCATCACATGGGTACTAGGGGTGTCGGCTACTTAGTAACTCACTAGCCCACAGCTCACCTTTTAAGTGAGTTTGGTCACTGTCTGCGCTTGGCAAACCCAGGCTCAGGAAGGTGCGGTGGATGGGACTCTCAGCCGCAGGTCCCCAAGCAGCTGACCACAAAGCCCAAGCTGGATGGAGTGGGAGTGTCCCAGCTGGCTGGTTACCTGTATCTGGTCCCGGGTGGGAGGGAGCTTGGGGAGTGTCTGGGCAGATTAAGTCTGGTCTGAGGTTACATGGGAAATCTTGTGGATTTGTTACAGAGTTAATATGCCTTACCAGTGAGAAACTGACCTGCGCTTAAAAGATTAACAAAGGAGAAAGCTCTTTAAGAGCGTGTGACTGTTTCTGGCTAAGGCACAAAGGGAACCAGCCTCGAAAAGAAAAATATTCCAGCTTGTTTTATGTAGCCTTAGGCTTATACATTTCATCTACACTGTCATCCTTAAATCTCTTTCACATCCCAGTGGGACCCTGACCTCCACAGGACACAGGCCCTTGCAGGGGACTTCTTTAGCCTTTCCAGGAGCAAGGTCATCACCTGGACAGAGGAAATAGTGTGGACAGAGGAGGGGTACCCAGAGGCAGGAGGCAGTCCCCAAAGGCATTCCGATTACAATTTAAAATATGTTGGTGCCTATATTATTCCAACCAGAGTGTCCCGAAGGCTCCCCAAGGTACGGTCACAGCATCACAGCTCCTGATGGCACCAGTCAGGGACCTCCAGAGATCTGCTGTTCCTCATCTCCCCACGGGGAAGAGAGCTCACCACACCGCTTGTGCTGAAAGATGCTCAGCAAGGGGTCCTTTCTCTGGGGTCCCAGTTGTCTCTGCCAGGGTGGGGACAGTAGCCTTGGGATACGCGCGGTTACAGTCGCCATCTACCTGGGAGGTAGCAGAAGCCTTGTGCCCAGGTGGAAAGGGTTTTAGAAGATACCTATCCATTCGCACTGTAAATAAGGTGAGGGCAGAGTGTGGATGCCCTCTGCATGTTAGAAACAAGAGTGGTAGATAGAAGCCCTGTTCTGAGTCTTAGCTCACTACACTGAATTGCAGGGTTGGCTGCTTTTGAGAGGCTAGGGGAGGAGTCGTGTGTATTGAAGGTTTAAATAAAACAAAGGAAATGACAAGACCAGTGTTGAGAGTACAAGTGTACAAAATCAAACCAGTCTGTACAATGAAGATCTGAAAGACTAATGCTTACTAAGTTGTTAGTGACTGTCAAGGAGACCTCTCTGCTCCTATGTCAGAGCTAGAAGGCAGCATTATCAGTTCAGGTCAATAGTGGTGACTGTGTTAAGTGCCATTGTATACTGCTTTGTTTGATTTTTGAAGTTCGATGACTTTATGAGGTCAGTACTACCTTTAACTCAATATCCAGGAAACGAAGGTATAGGGGCCATACAGGAATAGACAATGTGCTGGGATGAATGGAAATAGAGCATGGTTCCTTCCCTCTGGACCTGAGAATTCCTGGACATTTCAGTTCTAAGCTGGGATGTGTTCTAAATGGTAGATAGCAGTCAGGCTGCCTGGGAACCCCCTGTCTACTTGATTGGGTGGGATCTCACTGTTACTGTGATGAACTTAAGGGATAAAGTAGGGTAGGCCAGGAGACAGACCCCAGCAACCGTCCTCTCTTCCTTCCCCTCAGGAGGCTTCCGCACTGGACCATCTCCACTGAGTGCCATCCGCCTGGGGAAGGTCGAAATAAAGTACGACACCAAGTTTGTCTTCACCGAGGTCAACGGCGACAAGTTCATCTGGCTGGTGAAGCAGAACCAAGGCAAAGAGAAGAACGTCCTTATCGCCGTGGAGACTGCGAGTATCGGCAGGAACATCAGCACCAAGATGGTGGGCGAGAACAAGCGCCAAGACATCACCTCGCAGTACAAGTTCCCCGAAGGTAGCTGCACAGGACTTCTGCCACCACGCGATACTGGTCCTGAGCCAGGATCTTGAATCTGAAGGACCTGAGGGGAGAAATCTAGGCATCGTTGGCCATAGGGTTCCTGTCACAACAGCCTGACCATGTGCGCTTTGGCAAGAATGTGACGGTACCCCAAGCCGTGTGAGATGAGGGTAACTATGTCCTGGGGCAGGCTTGGCATGACACACAGTTTGTCCAGTCTAGGGCAGAATGTAGCCGGGTGTGGTGGCAGGGTAAGGAACTGTCCTGCTGTCTGGGGGGTCAGCAGCACAGGGCTTTGAAAGAAATCCAACCAGTTGGCCTAAGCTACGCTTTTCTATCTGAGGGGGTCTTAGTGAAGGAAACACTCTTACATGATCTTGATGGCTTTCTTCCTTGTTCTCTTGTTCTTTCTGCTATATACTTTTTTCTACAGCTTATACATCCCAACAAAGTCTTTCAGGCAATGTAGGAATTACAATGTGGTTCATTCTGTCTTTCAAGTGAATGATTACAATGAATACAAAACAAACAGTAAAAAACAGCATGTTTTCCATATCTCTCACACAGTAAACATTTTACATACTACAGGTGAGAAACAAATTATCCCAAGAACCCAATGTACATTCATTTGTTACAGATTTGTTTGTAGCAATTTGTTATAGATTAACTGTGTGGGCAAGCAAGCTATCCGTGTCAGGTCTTCTCCTGGCCAGCTGCATTTGCACTTACAAAGAAAGGGCCAATACTTTATTACTTATCTTGAAAGGTAATCTTATAAGGAGTCTTTTTTGGTGGTGGTTGGGGGAGTTCAAGACAGGGTTTCTCTGTAGCTTTGGAGTCTGTCCTGGAACTTGCTCTGTAGACCAGGCTGACCTCAAACTCACAGAGATCTGCCTGCCTCTGCCTCCCGAGTGCTGGGATTAAAGATGTGTGCCACCACCACACCATTTATAAGGAATCTTAAAGGAATCACAATCCTAAACTTTTAGTTATGAAAAGGAATCAGTCAGTTCTACTTTAAATCTTTAGGGTACATACCCACTCATCAATAGTTTTTTTGTGTCAGGAGATTGAGGGCAAAAGCGAGTATAAGGAATTCACCATCACCTTTGGTCATCAACCAGACCTCGCAGGAGGAGCTAGTAACTATCGATCTATATTGTATTTTCCACCCTAGCCTAATGAGTCAGGCAGCTCAGCTATGTGTCCTTGTGAACTTTGGCTTGTTTCCTGAGATTATTTATCTTAAAACTATTAGCAAGGCATCTGGTCTAACCTGAAACTTTGTTTTAGCTAGTGGTACGTGATTGCCTCTTTTCAGCATTTAAAGAATTAGAGCCAGCCTGGCTCCTGGACTCAGGTGTTTTCCTTTTACCCATTAACCTGAGCAGCTCCTAAGGCGGAGCTCCTTGGCTTTAGCTATGAAACATATCCTTGTATTTGTTTTTAATTCATCAAAAACTATGTATAGGCTATCATTATTACTATCAAATTAGACAGTACAGTTTAGAGGGGGGTCATCTGTTTGACAATCCATGAGTAAAAATGCCCAGAACATGAAATTCAGAGATGTTCTTATATTCTTATTGGCTTAGATTCACCCATCTTAAAAGTGGCTGGGTCAGGACCTTGTTTTCCTTTGGAGACAGTCACACTATGTAGTTCTGGCTAGTCTGGAACCTACTGTGTGAACCAGACTGGCCTTGAACTCACAGAAAGCTGCCTGCCTCTGCCTCCTGAGTGCTGGATTAAAGGTGTGAGTTTTGTTTTTTTTAGAGTACTAGAGCTAGAAACCAGGGTTTTGTGCACACTAGGCAAGCACTCTGCCAGGACCGTACCCCAGGCTCAGGTCGGTCTCTGCCTCCTGTGTCTGGATCTGTCCCACTGTACGGTAAATCTGCCAGATTCCACCAAGCCAGGCTGCCTGGAGAATTACAGCCTGTACGCCATGGAATTTCTGATGCTGGAATGCAGTTTCTGTCCCTCAGCCACCAATAGTGGGTGCAGGTGTCTCAAGGAAGAGGCTCCAGATATGGTGAGGTGTTCCCTAGAGCACAGCCTGAGGGAGGCAAGCAGAAGAGATGGGGCTTCAGAGGTTGTCCTGGTGCTGCCTGCATCCCGAGGCAGTAGGTACTCCTGTATCTGCTCGCTCTGCGCACATAGGTCCTGTTTGCATGTCCACGATGGCTATGGTGGCCGGGTACTTGTGGGCAGCCCCGATTCCCTGCTGGATGGAGATGCAGCTCAGATGGTTGTGTGGTTCTATGAAAACAAGACACACTGACATATGCCGTAGTCCCAGCCATGGTCAAGGCAGTGGTAGCAGTTTAAGGTCATCATTCACAGCACAGTGAGTGTGAGGCCAGCCCTCAGAGAGGGGGGGCGGGCAGGCAAGAAGAAAGAGGAGAAGGGTGATCAGTGTAAAGAAGGCAGGAGCTGCTCACTGTAGTGTGACAGGAGGGAGGGTCTGCAGGACACCAGGTCTTCCTGTCCGTCCTGGACCCAGGACAGTGTCTGCCCTCTGTAAACAGACTGTCAGGCTTGGGGGCAAGAGCCCTTGTCCACTGAGTCATCTTGCTGTCCTAGTAGGAGATTTAAGAAAGAAAAAATCAGAGCGAGGGCTGCCTCAGAGAGGGAGAGAGGGCTCAGCGTACTGTTGCTTTTTCCTTGTTCCTTTTCCTTCTGCCTTGAGGACTAGATAATTTCAATGACCCCATCCTCAAATCTGATGGCTTCCTGTGCAGTCTCTAAGCTGTTAGTGACTTTTAGACTTTTACACGTTCTTTATTGATAGTCTCTGCTTGGTGAGCTACTGCTGTACTCTCTGTCCTTTCAGTTCCTTGGATATATCTACAATGGTTTCATACTTATTTAACTTTGTGTAGGTGGGTGTGCATATGTGTGTGAGCACACCACAGTGTGCCTGCGGAAGTCACTGAGGATTGAATTCAGGTCACCAAACTTGGAGTAGCCCCTCTGACTATATTTAAAAAATAAAACTTAAAGTGTTTCTCTAGTAAGTTCCAAATCAGGCTTCTGCAGGGGCTGGTTTTCCTTTGGGTGGGGGGCATTTCCTGAGGAAAGTGATAAGCTTGGAGGATATACTGTGGCAGTCTGGAGACCAGATCTTGTTTGCCGTCTCTACTGTGTGCTGTGCGCTGTCTCTCTGAAGCCCTCTGCACAGTCTGTATTCATCATGGGAAGCCTCTGACTTCTGCTCCCATTCGCCTCATGAGCAGCTGGGGACCGGTTGCTGCAGCCTTGGTCGTCTGGGATACGTACGTAAACTCGCCTTGGCTCGGAGGCTGTGTCCACTCGGGGGCTGTGCCCATCTGCAGAACTTGGTGCTGCGCTTCAGTCTCACTTGTACAGATGAGAGTGCACAGCTTGCTTCGTCTTTTTCCTTCCCTAGCTTCTCTTCAGGTTTGTAAAACTGTCTTTCAAATAAGCACAGCAGGAGAGAGCCTGTTGGCTGTGAGCCGAGTCTGCTCTAGGAGTGGACATTTCCAGGGAGCTGCCATAGACATCAGAGCAGCACACAGTCCGTGTGATGAGGTTGTTGGTATGCTCCAGACTGGACGAGGCTTCTGACTTCACTGTGACTAGAACTGCTGGTTTTACCAGGTGACCAAGGGGCTGGGAGGAGGAGAGACAATAGGATCACCTCATGCCTTCTGAGTTCCTCCAACTCACTCTGTTGTCCAGGCTGGTTTGAAGCCATGGCAGTTCTCCGGCCTCAGGTTTCCAAGTGCTGCTGGCTCAGCGTGTTATTGTTAAATTATCCTTAGTTTGATGTCGAGCCCTGGGTAGGTTGGAGGTGGAGTAACTCTTTGCTTGTGTTCCCATAGCGTTTTAGGAGACACTAGGGTGCTCTGGTTTTCCTGCTGCCAACCACTTTAGACAAGTCCCCAGCATGCGGCGGCCTTGGGTAGTTCTCAGTGTGAATCCTCAGCTCCTGGGAGCCTCCATAGTCCTAGTCAGTGGGTGTCTTAGTTTGGTTTCTGTTGATGTGATAAAGACCATGATGGAAAGCAACTTGGGCCAGGCAGTGGTGGCAAACACCTTTAATCCCAGCACTGGGAAGGCAGAGGCAGGCGGAGCTCTGTGAGTTCGAAGCCAGCCTGGTCTACAAGAACTAGTTCCAGGACAGCCCGGACTGTTACACAGAGAAACCCTGTTTCGAATAACCAAGAAAAGAAACTTCAGAAGGAAAGGGTTGATTTGTCTTACTCATCCCAGGACCTATAGTCCACTGAAGGAACCCAAAGCAGGAATTCAAGGCAGGAACTGAGTCAGAAGCCAGAGGAACACTGCTGACTGGCTTTATTCCTCACATCTTACTTATCCTGCCTTCTTATACAACCTAGACACACCTGCTGGGGTGTCAGATCCACAGTGGTGTAGGCCCCTCCCACATTGATCATTATCAAGAAAATGCCTATGGGCTGATCAAATGGAAGCATTTTCTCAATTGAAGTTCTCTCTTCTCAGATGAACCTGCTTTGTGTCAAGTTTACAATATCTAACCAGGACAACTGACTCCTTGTCAACTTGACACAGAAATACAACACTATGAAGCAGTACCCTTTCCTGTCTTGCTTATCCCTAAGGTCTTATATTAATCTCAATATCACAATATAAAAACATTCTAAAAGTCCCAAAGTCTTTTAAAATTCAGTCTTTTTAAGATATCCAAAGTCTCCTGTAAAATAAAAACATAAGTTACATATTTCTTATTCCAAGAGGGGAGACCCAGAGCATAGTTACAGTCAAATCAAATCAAACACAAAATTAAACATTCAGTGTTAAATACCCAGTGCTTTACATCTGAGACCGACTCCCGGTCCTCTGGACTCCCAAGTCCCCCCCCCCCCCCACTCCGCTTTTGGGGCTCTGCCACCTGTAGCTCATATAGCTCATCTCCTAAGCTCAAGTTAGGTCCATGCCACGCCTGCCTCTGCCCTTGGGGGTCATTCCATGGTCTTTGTATTTCCAATATGCTGGGTCTCCATGGCTGTACCTTTATCGATGACCTCTCCAGGCTTCGCACAGTGCCATGCTTCAGGCGGTACCCATGGTATCTTCATACCTTTAAAACCAGCACCACCTGGGAAGCATATACTATCAAGTTTAGCAGCTAGCATGAGGTGCAGCCTTAGCCCTTTCTAAACCACAGTTCCTGGGTTCTGACGATGAGGAAATACTCCCAGGAGATTTCACCTCAGTCATGCTGGTCTCTTCATGACATCTGATTCCCTGCTCCAGCTGACCAGTAACCAATTGTCTCATAAAGGTTTCAGTCTAGTGGTGCTGGTTTCTTGATTATCAGCTGATCTTTCTTTTGTGTGTGTGAGACAGGGTCTCACTGTGTAGCTCTGTCTGGGCTAGAACTTTCTATATAGACCAGGCTACCCTTAAAGAGATCTGCCTGCCTTTTCCTCTCAAGTGCACAGCTGATTCTTCAACTCCAGCTGGCCAGATACCACAGAGTCCTAGTTCAATGTATCATACAGATGGCTCTCATAGATTCTTTAAGGGACTCTCAAGATTCTCTCGAAACTTTTCAAGCCAGGATTCCATTGTCTCCATGGCTCTCAACATTTTTATTTTCCCAGCTCCCACAGAACAGTGCCCACTGACCTTTGAACACTCAACAGCTTTTCCAGACCAATGTCCCAAAGTCCTCCCATAACCTTCCCCAAAACGACATGGTCATGTTTGTCACAGTAATACCCCACTCCTGGTACCAAATTCTGTTTAATTTGTTTCTATTGCTGTGATAAAGATCATAGCAACTTAGAAAGGAAAGGGTTTATTTTGGTTTATATATGCTGTGTAACAGTCCACTGAGAGAAGCCAAGGCAGGGACTCGAGGCATCTACTGACGCAGAAGTCACGGAGGAACACTTCTTACCGATTCGCTTCTCGTGCCTTACTCAACTTTTCTTATACAACTCAGGTCTGTTTTCCCACGGGTGTTAGACCTACAGTGGAATAGATCTTTCTAAATCAGTCATTAATTAATAAAATGCCTCACAGACTTGTCCATGAGCCAATGAGATGGAGTCATTGTCTCAAATGAAGTCTCCTCTTCCCAGATGACTCTGGCTTGTGTCAAGTTGATAAAAAAAAATTCAAACCAGAACAAGGGAAAGCTCTCTCAGCACCCAAGGGTGTGCTCAGACATTCGGTTCCCCTTAGAGAGGGTCCTCAGGAAATGTTCCGTGTCTCTGCAGGCTCCCCAGAGGAGAGGAAGGCCATGGAAAAGGCCGCCGGTAAGCACCCAGATGAGGACAAACCCAGCCGTCGGCCAGTGAACAGCATGCTTCAGATCCATGTCCTCCAGAACTCTGTGGAGCTAGGCTATCCTATCACCTTGACCCTAGTGTTGAAAAGGAAAACGGCCACACCACAGAATGTCAACATTTCATGCTCCCTCGATCTACAGACATATACAGGCAGCCAGAAGACAGACCTGGGAATCATCCACAGGACGGTGCAGATCCAAGGTCAAGGTACCAGAGCCTCGGGCCCCAGCGAGACCAGAATCCCTGTCATCTGATGTCTCTTTCTTCTCTGTGATTACCCCCATACTCTGTGCTTATATTTGAATAGATACAGCATTTATGGAGCACTACATTTGGTGGTGATAAGAAATTCAGGCATAGCAGAAAAAATGGGCCACATAGATCAGAGTGAGAGCCCGGAGTCTGGGGTCTAGCACACATAGATCAGAGCTCCAGGAGTCTGGG